CTGTCTTCCAGTGAAATTTCAGGTCATAAGGGCAAGTAATTTTCACAATCTTCAATGGGAACCAGTGAAATATGAACTTCATTGTCACCTAGCCCCAAAGCGATAAGATAAAATGAGCTGATACATCATTTGCTGTGGTTTTATCATCTCCTCCAGTAATTGGAAGAGAAAACATAAGAGTCCCCCCTCCCCAGTCCCTTCACCACCCACACCCAGGCATAAGCCATTTTGCTCTGATCGATACAAAGGTCACAGAGTATTTATTTATTTATTTAATTTTTTTATGCTGGGTAAAACTGTCTAGTGGAACATTAAAGTAATGAATATGTTTAATTGAGTTTGTCACCCATGAAAATGCTGAGGAGGATTGTATAGCAGACTGTGCGTGCTCACAGGAGGGACTCGATGGGAGACGACTACTGTTTGCCTGTGGATTTCAGTGGCTGATTGTATAAATATCTGAGATTTAAAATTAACATCTTATTCGTTGTTCTCTTGAGAAATAGAAAATAAACTAATAAGCACTGTGATTTATTTAAGAGCATTTGGATATTTAAAATTATTAATAATCTGATCTAATTCCCTATTAGTTTAGTTGTACTTGGACGTATTTAAACAAAGAGCAGAGTAAGACCCTTTCACTGTGAATCCTGCTGCCAGGAACTAAATAGTACCTGGACAATAGGTTCTGAGCCTCCTCGGCTGCAGGGCTGAGATTGTGGTGGAGATCCAGGTTCCTCACGAACTGAGAGTCAGGTTTTGTAACCTCTAAGTGCTGTAATTTTGCCTTCCTGAACAAAAATGACCCCAAATGATAGAGAATGCTGCTAGAGGAATGTATTTATGGATTTTATCTCTCAACTGCAATCAAATTTAAATGCAAATTAAATGTTGGGGTTTTTTTTTTAATTTTTTTTTCTTGTGTGTTTTTTTTTTTTTGTCTGGCACGATAACTTTTTTCGGAAATACACAAATATGCATCAGCTTTTTAAATAAGCTATTCAGTTTTTATTTTACTTGTGGCAGTTACATTGGCTAGCACATTAAAGTAATATAATTATTCAATTACTGTTTCAGTTCTATAACCAATTTACAGACTTAATTACTTCTAGCCTATTCACATTTTCAAGATCAATAGTACTTTTCTCTAAAATGAAATAAAATATATTAGCTGATTGGCTTGCTTAAAAGGTAAAGCAAAATGTTCGTTTAGTCTTCAGTAAAATATTACTTCTCTAATTCAGGAGGCAGCTGTAGCGATGGTATCTTTTAATTATTGCATGTGATCTTTTATGAGAGACGTTGTTTATGATCAACATTCAGGGAGGGTTTTGAAGAAAAGGTGGGGTGGGGCATTTGTTTTCAAAACTGTAAAATGACAGAATAACTTCTAAGTGAGTGTTTTAATGAGAGGACTTCTTTAGGTATGATCTTAATTCACGATCAGCGCTATGCTACCCGAGTTGTCATGCAACTCTGATTTCAGAATCTCCTCGAAGTGGAAATTGAAGCTGGGGATTCTTTACTTACTAGTTTCTTGGGGAGTTTCTTCCAGCCACGGAAGAAACCTTCCAAGGTTTAGACCTTAATTAATTTCTATTACTTGAAGTAAAGAAGGAACTTCATGCAAAGGTGAAAGTAATTTTGTATTTTTGGTAGTGTTGTCATGCCATCTGTTCATCTGGTGTTGCCGAAGTCTAATCACAGAACAGTTTCTCTAATGAGATTTTTGGAACTGTAGAACTTTACAATTGGCTCATTTGTTTATTTTAAGTATTTTTAAATGAAACGGTAAACTGTATATAAATTGTCTTTCCTCCTGTAAGGTGCAGTATCTTTTTAATAAATGAAAAGTGCAATAATAAATGAAAAGTGCAGTAATAAATGAAAAGTGTAGTAGTAGAACTTCAGTCTGATGTGTTGAATCAACTGAAGTTCTACGAATACTTCTACATGTGGGGAAGATGCTACTACTTGTGCAGATTAAATTAGATGGTACACCCTCATTAGTTTTTGCTCCACAAGTTGCTCCAAAACGGGTGGTGACAAAAGACAGAAATAAATGAGTCATTTTTAAAGTCAACATATTCTACAATATTATAAAGAAGATAGTTGTTCTTAAATTCTGAAGTAGAATTCTGTGTTGCGTGGCTTATGCGTGAAAACAGGCAAATACAAAAATAGTTTTTGAAAGTTGTAATTCTGATAATATCAGAAGCGGTAACACTGATTAAAAAAATTTTAAAAAATCCCTTTGCCAGAATAAAAATGCTGAATTTAATTTGGAGTACAAGTCAGTTTCTGCAACTAGGAGGCTATATTAATAAAATCACGTATTTGACAGGGAATGAAAGGTTGAACTGGATTTTCCTAAGGAATACTTAGTAATACCCATGAAAGAAACGTGTTTGTCTTCTGGACCTTTCATCTACTATAGGTGGTGTGATGAGCGCTGAGCAGTGGTAATGATGCAGTTGCCATAGCAACTGGTTCATTGGCGGGCTAGACCTCTGTCTAGGGTGCTGTCAGTGTGCCTGGAGTTTCAGAGAACAGAGTGTCCCAAAGAAGGTCTGCTTCCACCTAATCCAGTTTTAATTGAACTCCAGAGACTTTGAAGTGAAGCTGCAGACCAGGCAGACACTATTCCAACTCGAAATGAAGGCCTTGCTCAGCTAGGCCTCAGCTGCTGCTCACTCCTGATAACTTCGGTTAATGAGTGGTTTAAAGAATTGTTATAGCGGTCACTCGCAGTGTTTCTGCAGTGCAGTTCCAGTTTCTGCTGTAAATCCTGTTATACTGAATTCAATAACTTTATCATGGCTGTACAAGGTGCGCAGTGTAAACCACCTCCGCTGTTTTCAAGCCGGTGCTTTTCCTTCCAGTTTTGAAGAAGTTGCATGCAGCAAGCTTTTGGCCACGTGCAGGGTTTCCACTGTCACAAAAAATGCTTGCTTCACCAGGTCAAAGCAATAATTATTTAACTTGCTGATTTTACTCACAGTATTTATGTAGTAAGTGTTTGAATTTGCAGTGCGCAGACTGATAGTGACAAGCAGGCTGTTGTGGTTTAGTTGTTACTACAGAAAAGCGGAGGTCATCACATTCCTGTCTGGCTCAAAAAATAATAATTGAAATTATAAGCTCCAATTGAAAGACCGTAAGATGGATGAATACCAGCAATAGTACTAAGAGATTTTTGTACACAAGCACTGCAACTCTGTCTCCTTTGTTACCTCTTTTGATGTTGTGCTCTTTAAAGGATATTTATATGCATGTGACAAAAGGCAACCGCGGTGGTTCTGAATAGCACCATAGAATTATACAAATCTGCCAATTAGTGTGGATGGGTTATGGATGTGGTATGAAGAGAGACAGCGTGGCCCAACTCTGTTAGTTCCCCGGTTCCAGAAATGATTAGCAACCATTGCCAATCTCTGGTCCTTTCATCTAGAATTTTGTATGGGAATAATTATTCATTTTTTCCTTCTCTTTCTGTGTGTGGGGGGGTGTTGGGAGAGAAGTTGTCTGTGGCACTTGTATTGAGGGGAAGATGAAGGATTAAGTAAAAAGAAAGAAGGTGTGGGAGATGGTTTGCTTTGTAAGTTCTGATCTTCTGTGCTATCTGCTTTTAGCTTGCCAGTCTTGTTTGCTTTTAATTCACAAAGGTGGTACACTATGTTATACTGTATTGTGTAGTGCTTTTATAATGGTATCTCTGCTCTCTGTGCTACAAAAATTCAGGTTATTTGTGAATATATGCTATATGTGAGGCAAAATCCTCCTTTGTTAAAAATCTGTAAACAGATGATTGGGTTCATTAACAGTCTTTGTTATGTTAAAGGCTTGAATTTCACTTTTTCTTTTTTATACACAATATATTGCTCAAGTGAAATTGTAGTAAGAGTGATGTTAACTAGGATTATATCTGAATCTCCTTTTCTGTGATGGATTTCTGGTAAGTGCTTTTGTGTTTGCTAAAATTGACAAATCTCAGCTTTTCCTTTGCTTATGATTTGTTAATCTGAGGCAGAGAAGTGTCCAATCTTGCTGTCCCTTAACACTTAGATAGTTAAGCTTTGAAATGAAAAGGAAAGAGT